TCTGCTCTGCGAGCGCTCCACTGGAAGCTACTGCTCCCGTGGTGCATGCTGGGACAGCAGCCAGTCCGAAGAAGGCACACAGAGAAACAGCCTTCGTCTACTTTTAAGAGTAGGCTTAAAACTTTCCTATTCTATAAAGTTCAGGTTATCCAGAGCTATTTCTGTAGTTATACTGCTATATGCTTAAGCCTGGTAAATGCTTGACATCTCTGCAATTTTTGTGTGGCCAAATTACATCATTTTAGTTTCTGCACAAAAAAACATGGTAGACAATCCCACAGGGTTTGTAATTTAGACAATAAAACCACAATGATCAAGAAAATGGGGGGACTACTCTTGGAAAGAAATTACTCTCACTCTTGGATGATACAAAGAGGCTTTAATGTTTGAAAGGTTGTGACTTTTAAATGTGTTTTGTAAGCTTGAGACTGTGCCGTATTCAATCCCCTAGAATGTCTGGTACAGGGGGAAAAGCTGCACAGATTTTAAAAGCTGAAGACAGGTTTGCAGGTCTAATTTCTTTATGAAATATAAACGTGTCAAGAATATCTGAAGCTGTATGCTGCTGGATGTCATAGGTGGGTAGTGACAGAGTACAATTACTTGACTACTGTACTTAAGTACTTTGAGTTTCTTTACTTGAGTAATTTTTTAGGGGGAGCCACCTTCACTCCAATGCATTTCAAAGTCTTTTTCACATCATTTCAAGGAAGCTGCTGGTTTCTGGTTACTTTTTGCTCAGCTTAATTTTGTAATCCGCTGCTTTTTTCTTTCTTGAAATGCAATTTCAACATGCAGCCATTAGGACTGAATCTGGAAACTACATTCCACGTGAGATGAATGTGAGAAACTCAGGGCAGATATTATTTGTACTTTATATATGCCAGTATGATTACTTCTTTGTGGAAATTGATTCAACCTTAAATCTCTAATCCATAGTGTAAGCGTGAGGAAGATTTTTTTTTTAAATAAAAACTAATCCAAATGGCTGTAATTGTTTGCAGCATTTTTATGCTGTAGTTCAAGTGGCGTAGCATTTGTAGCAGAGTGGTTCTACTCAATACATCAGGTTGCTTCTGAAAGTTACAAGGTTCTTTAAAATCACTATGAAAACTTTACAGAAATTGCTGATATTAGACCATTTAATTTGTATTTTTGAACACCCAAGTACTTTCAAAACCATGTCGCTTTGAATACTTAAGTATTTTTTGAAAAGAAAGTACTTCAAAGCTTTAATGTGAGTAGATGTTTGACCAAGCAACTTTTACTCGTAGTCGAGTAAGATTTGACAATGAGGATCAAAACTTTTACTTCAGTACTACTGTTGAGTACTTTGTCCACCACTGCTCATGTTGACCACTTTTCATCATTCTGCTTTATTCTACTTTTATTCTTCAACTTCTAATTTCATGTCCATTTTTTATAGCTACTTCTGGCTTTCAGTGTTTTCTCCCATTTCTCACCTAAACATGGCTACAGACTCAGATTTTTCTGAAGATAGAGCCACCTAGTTTGCCTTTACTTTTTCTAGCATAAAAAGTATCTATGGATCAGTGCTTCTGTGTTCTGTACACACACCTGTTCAGTTTTCTAAAACTCAAGTTGTTCTAGACAGAAGGACACTGAGCCTGGTTCTGCTGGAGGTTCCTTGTAGTTAAATAGAGTTATTCCTTTCTCCTGTCGTTGCATGCATGCATGCAAGCTTGGTGGGAGGGATTGATGCAGTATCAAAAGCACAAGGCAAGCAAATTTCTGTTACTACATGCCCATCCAGAAAGAGTCTGAACTAGTCTTATTCTAACCGAGTAGCTTGTTAGCATTTCACACCTACTTGCTAACATTTAAACTACCTGAACAGCACTGGTGCACAGGTATAGCAGAGAGGGGGGGGGGAACTATACAGACTCCACTGACTAATGAAGGCTGCATCAAAACTCACAGGTGCTAATTGAAAGTAAAGGTATTTTTCTATTCTTTGCAACAGTCTGTCTTCATTCCATAAGAATGTGCCGTTCTGCAGAATGGCAGCGTTTATGGCACGCATGGCCTCAGTAAATCCGTTCCCCCCTCTCAGCCCCCCACCTGAATGTATGTGACGAATTGTGATGAATGGTTGTACTGAAACTTAGATTGCAATGTAAATTTGATTGATTAAACAGACCATTGCTTACCTACTGCCAACCTCTAGGTGGGGATGCTTCTACCTGGCTATTGGGCTTCCATGCGGTTGCTACTCAAGTGGATGCAACAAATCTTAAATAATTTAAGGTTAACAATAAACATATCTCTGTATATTTTATTATTTATTCTTGTAAATGCATTGATAACTTTTACAGCTGCAGTCACTGTTCAAGTAAACTCCATATCGCATCTGAAAATAAAACAAATAGTTTAAGCAAAAAAAAAAAAACTGTAAATTTAAAAAAATGGTTCTGTTGGACAAAAAAAAAAAAAAAAAGAATGTTCTTTTTGTTAGAAATATTTTTAAGTGACCTGGTTTAGACATGCTCCTCTCTAGCATCTTTAGGGTTTCACCAGTCAACATGTGAATCTCATCCTGTAGCCGGCGTTGTCCGTCCAGAGTTAAGTGCCAGAAACATGACTTCCTCTTCCCCACTTTGCAGAGCTGGTTGCAGGTTTTACGGAAGCTGCTGCTGAAGCACAAGTTGTGGCGGATTGTGTTTTTCCAGCCATCTGGAGCTGTCTGGAAAAAGGGGAAGTGTTCTCTAGGAGATTGAAAAAAAAAAAAAGGTATGAGGGTAAGCAAAGACTAAACTTATTTGAGAAAGGCAAAGACTTCATTACGCAAAACATAAAACCTGAATCTTTTGTAAGATTGCAGACAGATCCTAAAGAAAATAATGTTAGCCTCCATCTAGAGACCAAAAACTATAGGAAATCCATCAACATCATTAATAAAAAATTCTCGTCTTTTAATTATAGAAATGTTCTTTTTTTTTTCTTAGTTAACGCATTGTATAAACAAAAATGCACCTAAAGACATGTTTTTGTTGATTGTCTCCCCATAGTGGTTTGAAGCACTTTCATTATGCTGAGCTAGTTTTCAGATCCCTGTTGTAGTTCCCATTACTGAATTTTCCTTTGGAATATGTTTTGCAAATTAACATCATATTTTCAGCAGGTTTTGTGTTTGCTGGAAAATTTCCTGTGGCTGCTGTCTGCAGGGACGGAGCTAGATGCCCCCCCAACGGTGCCCATGGCCACCCTTAGCCCTGTGGCCCCACTACCAGTTATCATAAAATTGCATGAAATTTATTCATGTTGCTACCCGAAGCGTATCATCAACTACATCACTTTAGTCAACACAAAGTTTGGCAGTGGAGGAGGAAAAAATTGACCCTTTAGTTTACCAGTCCGTCTTCATTTATTTGGCTCTCCACCTCCTACCTGGTAAAGTTGTAAATCTGCTGGACTTTGAGGCTCCCAGTTTGGCTGCTCTTTAGTGCCAAAGAAATAAGGATGCAATAATTCACTGGTGGACGAGGCCAGCACCCCGGTTTTAAGGACTTCAGGTCCTAAGAGGCAAATGTTAAGACAAAAAACCAAGACATATCTAATGTGAATAAAACATTTTCAGAGCAAGTTGGTTCAGACTTGGCACCTTAATGCTGACATTGAGTGGCAGCAGAAAATACATATACATTTACATTTAAGGTTGACAGGCCAGGTGTCTTGGTAAATTCAGAATATAAGAGGCTTAGCATTTTGAACTTTAGCATAAATACACTGATCCATTTTAGGAGAATATGATTTAATTCTAGGTGTATTGACCATAAATTATAAAATCTGACAACCTACCTTTAAATGCACCAACCTTTTTTTTTTTATTATTATACATTTAATTGTTGTACTTTATTCCAGGGAGTTTAAGTTAAAACCCTGAAATAAAGCCGCCATCCTCACCACAACTTTTGTGATTCTCCCCTTGCGTCTGGTCCTGGTTGGTCGACTGGAGACCTCTTCTTCCTTTATCTGAAAGTTAAAGATGTGGGGATTAAAGACAAAATCCTACATGATAATATAGGGGCATTAGTCAAATTAGCATTTAATTGGTTTATTTAAAAGCAACAGTTATATTGCATGATTAAAATATTTCTAGCGCTGTTCATGTAGCACAGTAAAGGTATAGAAATACCCAACACCTGTTGTGTGAACTGCATTTTTTTCCATTACAGATTGGCTCAAATGTCGCTTCAGTCAGAACTAGGCCATGCTCTTTAGACTGAATAATTTAGTCGTCTCATTTTAATCTGTAAAGCAATGAAATTCATGCGCATGCTTGCAGAAACTGCTGACATACTCCAGCAGCATGAGGTCTAGCATTGTCCTAGATTAAGAGGAACCCAGGGCCAGATGCACCAGCATATGGTCTCAAAAGGGGTCTGAGGATCAAATCTTAGTACCCAGTAGCTGAACTCAACACAGCAAGATCGCACAGAGCAAACCTTGTGGGACAGGAAGTCATGCGCAGAAGAAAAAAAAAGGAAAAAAAAAAACACAAAAAAAAAAAAACAATCTGGCTAATTTTCAAAATAAATTTTCCATGATAACTTTCCTTACTTCAAGAGTCACCATGGTTCCTTGAAAAGCATTAAAATGCTGTATTTTTATCCACAATTGCTGTAATGTTGTAGACTCCTATATTTATTCATTTTATATAATTGCTTAATTGTGCATATTTTATCAAGTTTAATTTTATATTCCAACTTATTTAAAGTAATTTTTACCATTTTATACTTTGACATTGGGTTGCTCTGAAAACCCAAAACCAACTTCTTTTTATGTCAAAGTGTCGAAATGACAAACTCCATGAAACATGATTTTGAAATGGTATATTGTTTTCATTTCTATCATTTTGTATTTGACTCTGTTGATTTTCTTCATTAAAAGAAAAACAGGATAGGGGACAAAGGCTGAGTAAAAACAACCTCCTCTTTGGGCCGAACAGCAAGAGGAGAAGAGAAGAGAGTGATATAGTGGGAGCAGTAACCATACTATAAAAGGAAGACACTGTACCAGTGAACTGTATGAGTTTTTAAATGTAAATATGTATTGCATGATAATTGAAGTAATTGAAATATGTTCGAAGGCTGGCCTTCCATTAAAAAAAAAAAAAAAGTGAATAGATTAGGTACCAGTATCAACATAATTTAATAGAGACATTAATTTTAATAGGGACTGGTTGTCTTCATCCTAGCTCCTAACAGCCACCACTATTCAGATATCACTTATTCCCACAGCTGACACATTTTTGCCATATCTTAAGGTCTTTTTACAGTTGTGAGGAATTTGAATTGAGCCCAATTCTGGTCCAGTTATCTTGCTGGCTTTCATGTTTGCAGACTGTTGCTCTTTGCAAAGTAAATAAAAAATGAAATAGCAAATATTTGTTTGGACAATATAAACTAAGTGATTACTTTGGGCCCCAGACTAACTAGTGGGTCTCTGTACCCCCAAGAACAATCTATATTTTTTTGCATGTATAATGGTTTCTATAAAATTATAATAAAAACACACAGTTTCATGATGACATTTTACATTGGTTTACGTCAGTATACCTTTATTCCGGTAGAAATAATCGCTTATAAAGAAAAAATGAAAATGACTGGTCTTGGGGCAAATTGTCAAATTGACACAGATGCTAAAGGACCAGTGCAAACTCAAAAACAAACTTATCTTTGGTGAACAGTCTGGCAGTGATGAGAGTGCACTGGCACCAGAGACTGAAAACCTTCCAGATACCCTAAAGCATTGATGTACCAATTTAATTATTTACCTTTTTGAAAATCAGATTAGATCTTTGTTTAGCTCTGCAGATGGCTTGCACACTCCCCGGGACTGTTGCATCTGCAGAGCAAAACATCAGAACTGAGATTATTAAAGAATTAACCTGAGATGATTCAAAAAAAGATTAAGTTGGCCTGGAGTGTTTGTTTTAACCACAAAATTGTCAGAGATCTTTTACACTGACGCAACAAGAGACTTTGCAAACAGAAAAGCCAGGAAGCACAGACTTGAGTTAAGAGTATTGAGGAATAGTTTCACAATACAGATCAATTTTATCATTGTATTCATTGCATGGGACTAAGAAGACATGCTGTGCAGCAAGTTAGCTCTGTTTGAATACCCACAATGATAGGTAAGGTTACCATATATTCAGTTGAGGGAATTGAGAACATTAGTTCCTCCTGATGGGGACATTTCCGTGGCTCAGATGTAGATGGACCCTGCATCTCTCCAGGCTCTAACTGAGGCAGACGGCTGGAGACCGAGGCAACCGGTTCAGACTGGTGATTGTACTGGAGCGGACATGCAATGTTGGGATTCACCAAAAGCCACAGGTTTGGTTTAACAAATGTATCTAATAGAGAAGAGGGAAAACCACACATTGCACAAATTCATTCAACTCCTTCACTGATTATTTAATGGTCCTTTAAAAACAATCAGCAGTCAGAGGTACAAGAATGCTGCAAAAGGCAGCAATGATGACAGAAAAGTAAAGCCTGAAACATTTCAAAAAGCTATTAATGAAGAAGCGAATGTGCAACACTCCTAAAATATCCTGATCTGAACAATGTAGGAGACCAAACCAATCTTTTGGTTAACTCACCTGATGTTTTATCATACCAAATAAAGTCATCCTTTCTTCTGGAGGCCCTTGCAGAGGGTCTTTGGGCCACATATGGATCATTCGTTATGTCATCTGTCAAAGATTTACAGATTCCCTTGACACATATTCCTGCATTATGAATTTGCAGAAATAAAAAGAAAAACAAACACTAAATTCTCATCGTTTCAAAATGTTTCTGTCTTGTATAAACCAAACACTTCTCCATACTGTTTCTAATCAAATACCAGGTGACATTTGCTCTTTAATTCAGCTTTTTTCAAGGAGTGGTTCACCGTGATAAATTTGGTCAGTGGTAGTTGCCAGTTTCAGCTCCTTATCCATGTCCCAGTCGGTCAGACCCACAGAGCAGTGCAGGTCAAAGAATCCAGCTTCAGTTTTCAGCTGGAAAGTCATACTTTGATCTGTTTCAGAAGTTTTCTTCCCTTCTTATGAGGAAAAGGAAACTGAAGCCTGCAGGCTGTTGATTTAACAGCTGGAGCAGAACTGCCTGATTAGACCTAATCAGATCTAACAGAGCACAGCCTTCTTTGAATGGAAACAAATCAACTCAGGGCCATTTGTGTAATTTTCATCTTACTTTTGGTTTTGATGCAGACTGAACAATATGCTACTAGTAATGAGTTGCAGTTGTTGTATATATATATATATATATATATATATATATATATATATATATATATATATATATATATATATACCAGCATCTGCAGGAAGTGCTTAAAAAAAATAGAGGATTCTTTCACATGTTTTCTTTTGTTTGATACATTGAAGACAATCTTTCAGATTTAGGAGTTGGCAAATTGAATGGAGGCATTTATTCAACTTGTTTAACTTTAATGGTCTAAAATACTTAAATACTGATGTTTGTTTCTACTAAATAAAAAAAAACAATTGTTTAGTGGTAAAGAATGCAGGTTCAAATAAGGCTTTCTAGAAAATAAAAATTCAACATTTGCATTTATCAGCCTTAAATTGTCATATTAAACTTTTTTTTTATTTGCTTATTAAACAGTTTTTAAATTCCACATCAGATTTAGAAAAAAGTAATATAATAGATTTTACTTTTCACCTAAATTTTATTTCCAGTGCCATTTTTAAGAATTATCTCAAATGTTTAAGGAAGTTGGGTGTTAACCTAGTCGTGGATATGAATAATTTAAATAAACACAGATCAGTCCTGGTTTTAAAGCATTAACCTGACATTTTCAATAAATTTCCTAAACTTTGAAAACTAAAAAATGATTCAGACTTTCCATTTCTTCAGACCAAAGCTGTTCAGTCTGTTTATTGTCATTGAGATTGCACAGTTCACAACATCAGATCAAAACATTAATAAATCAAGTTTTATACAACATGAGAACACAAAATCATATAATAATTTTTTAAATATTTATATAACCTGTAGAGTTTAACAGGATTTTTTTTATATAGCCACAATATTCTAATACCACTTTGTTCATATACAGAAACATCACACAAATGCAGGAATGACAGCAACGTCTGACTGCTTCAGAACCTGCAGCTCTTATTCCATTCAAGCTATAACTTGTCTAAAACAGTAAATCAGACTCATTTGTGTCACTTTTTGTCATTGGGAAAGACAGTAATTACCAGACATGCAGATAAACTCTAGTGCAAGAACAGATATAAATACAGACTTTAAAGAACTTAAAGTAGAGGAATGTTTCAAATACATTTTCTTTCAGCTGAATAAGATAAAGACTAATTGAGATTGGTTAGCTTGGAGAAAGAGAAATCAAAATCTTCAACCAACTGAAGCTTGCCGACTTTAACCTGTTTTTACTAAATTGCAAATATCAGCTTAAGTTTATTTTACCATCTGAGGGGTTGAGAGCGTGAGAAGCCATGGTTTAAGCACACTGAGCTTGGAAAGGTTTGGGCATCCAGACAAAAGTTTGAAAGTCAAATGGGTTCAAAACAGGGACCAAAGCCCTCTGGCAAACAACACACAGGTGATTTGTTTTCAAGCACAGAATTTACAATATAGAACACCTGACTATGAGAAAGTATCAGAGCCAGGGTTTTAGATCCTTTACCACCAGACTGACTAGAGACAAGACTGGATGAAATGATAGAGGGCTGAAGATGGAAAAAGTGAGTGGAAATGCAAGCTCAAAATATTGGGATGTAGTTGTCAATTTTAGCGCGGTGCCGCTGAGCGATGCATTCTGCGATCCACACAATGTTCCTGCACTCCTGCTCCTTCAGCTTGACGTATGCGTAGAAGACGCTGAAGTGGAACTGGTTGAGGAAAGCTAGCTTGTTCAGCTTCACCTGCAATTCACAGAAAGGAAAAAAGGGAAATTAGGAATTTTAGTAGAAAATATGCAATTAGAAAGTTTGCTATATTTGCAATATTTCCCTGTGTCAAATTAAGGCTGTAACAAATGACTATATTAGTAATTAATTATTGTCAGTATTAATCAACGAATCAGACAAAGAAAAGTCCTATTCTGCAGATTGTTCACTTATTTCTAGGGCTGGGTACCGAACTTCGGTTCTTTTATGTACCGACCGAAATGCTTCGGTTCTACAGGGTATCGAAACATGCCTCGTCTTTCGGTACCAAGTTTCCGGATTGGCTGTAACACTTAACGTGATTGCGTCATCCAGGAAAAATACACAGGTGGTCACGCCTACAGCCAGGGTTCATGTGTATCTGTTGTGAACTGGTTGTGAGCATCACGGAACCCCTTTAAAATGCTCCCCAGGTCAAAAGTGCGGCTTCACTTTATTAAGACTGATGCCAATAGGGCGCAATGCAATACATCGTGCACGGAAACAATTTAAGAGCAGAAAGTTGCTCGGGTTTTGACTGCAAGAAGAGCGGACCGCAGCCAGCGCGACCATCCTCCTCTCAGCAGCCCGTGGGCAGAGCAAAGCCAGAGCGGAGTGAATCATGCTGCTTTCAAACTGGATGCAGCAGGAGCAGCAAAATCGCGTCTGCTGCTTCCTTTTTTGCTGCTTGTACCAGCTTCTGACGCGCGGCTGAAGCAGCTTTGCTGCTCTGGCTGCGCGGTCGAAAAGTGGCTCTGACGCGCGTTGGGCGGAGCTACTCTATCCTTTCTCTGCCTGGCAGCTATATTTGCTGTGATCAGAGGGAATACAGTAGTTTTATTATGTTTTTAAGTGGGAAAATCCACCTGAAAACTTAATCAGTGCAGTCAGTTCATCCTGCCTTCCAATATTTCTGTCGGAGCCGCTTAGACCCCCACATACCAGCGGTGCGCTGTCAGTAGAATCCCATTCAACGGGCTTGTTTTTCAGACATGGTAATTTTTCTAAAGGAAAACTGCTAAGTAAAAAGGTCCTCACAATGTAACAGTGAATATTAGACATGGAATTTTTTTTTTTTTTATGTAAGAGGAAAAATGTAAATGGAAAAATCAGAGCTTAAAATAAAACTCAAGATTTGTACTTTTTTATGTTGTGTAATTTTCTTTTTTTTTTTCGAATTGATATTATAAAACTGGTTAGGGATGTCACGATACTAAACTTTTCAACTCGATACCGATACTAAGGAAAATATTCGATACTCGATACCATTTTCGATACCACATGGATAAAAACAAAGACTCCAAAATTCTACAGAAATATTTTCATTAATAAATAAAATACAATAAATCAATACAATAAATACTAAGAACAATATTTTGAGGTTGTATGCTTTGCACAGTATTAAGAAAGATTGATAAAAAATGTATAAAACTAAAATTAAGTGTTCCTTCCTTGGCTATGCTTTGCACACATAACAATGACACTAGCCAAACCGGTTAAGAAACACAAAAAATTCTCAGCAGCTGCACCTCTTACAAAAAAAAACAGTCTGAAACTAAAAAGTGCACGGAATTATTCAATCACACAGTGTTCTGAAAGTGCATTTTCCTCTATTCTGCACTTTAGATGAATGGTGGTGGCACTGTATCGATACTTTTAAAAACGAGTATTGTATCCGGATACAACGTTTCAGTATCGATACTTTTTTGAGTATCAATACTTTTGACAACCCTAAAACTGGTACCGAAAAAAGTATCGTTCAGGAATCGGTATCGAAGTGAAGGTATCGGTATTGGTACCGGAACCAAAAATTTTTGAACAATACCCAGCCCTACTTATTTCAAATGCTACAGTCATACTAAACACGATTTGAGCAGCAGATGCAGCTGGTTTACGTGCAAGGTTTATGGTTGTTGCTCATCAAGGCACATCAAAAGGTCCTGCAGTGTTGAGCAGCAGACAAGGGTTCACAAATGTGATCACATAGAGGCATCCTGTGAATTAGCTCATAAATATCACCACTACCAACAGATTGTGGAAAAACTCTAAGAAAGAAATACTGTCACTCTTGAACAACATGAAAAGGCTTTTATAAAGCTGTAAACGGCTGTTTTCTACTACTACTCATGTAGTGTGCTGAACATCTATCCTATCTCTCTGGGCTGCTTTGTCAGACAGCAAAAAAAGCCCAAAAACAAAACAATTGGGGGGGATTCAGAATCTCTTCCAGTTGAATGACGTTCAGTATGCAACTTAGGCGAGATGTCATGTAGCACATTTTAAGACAAAAAATGGCAACTTTTCTTGCTGAGGAGTTGACAACATTATCTCTTCGTCTCTTTCTCCCAGTCCAAGAACACGACTGCCTCACACAGCTGCTCTAATTGACATACATTTACTAAATGTAGTCAATTAACGTCAAAAGTTTTTAATAAATTACTAGATGAGGCTAGTAATAAATTAGTAACACATTAAGGATGTTTTCACACCTGCAGCATTACAGTAGGTCGATCTAAATTTCAAACGCCTAAATTTGGTCTAATTTGGGTGAGTCGCTCGGACTCTAATGTGCACCAAACTAGCGCGAAATGAACAGGTCTCTGTTTAGCTTCAGCTGTACTCCGGTGCATATTCCGGGCAAAATCAAGTTTGAGCTAAAACGAAAGAGGGCTACTTTAGTGACTTGGACACAACAAAGACATATTTCCACTGTAGAAAACGTTTTTTTTCTTTTTTGTTTAAAGACAGTTGAACAGAAACCACAATTCATATTAAGGTCAATAATGCTCAGGTGATTTTTACAAGTACTAAAGGGTTGCTCAATATGCCAATGCTTACTTCCTACTAAGGCATTTAAAACAGTATTATACAACATTTGGCTGGGACCGATATTTACAGTGCTGCCAACAGAGCTTGCAGCTACACGATGGCAGCGCTGAGATGGGAAATGTGTTTGAGAGAACATTGCTGCCAGCGACTTTGTTACTACATTTAGTTTTCAGACTGCTGTCATTACTTTTTTTTTTTTTTTTTTAAAGAGACTAGTGACTTTTTCTGTGTTGTTGTAGACCAGGGGTGGGCGACTCCAGTCCTTG